GCGGTGTGTAAATATATGATTGTTTCGCTTTGTGTAATGTTTTGACGGCACTTGACCCCCCGTTCGAAAGGTTATTTTATGAGGATTTCAATGGTGGCATTTATTTAAAAGGGGGGTAAATACTCGCCGAGATATTTATATAGAAAAATTGTATCGAAATGTAATACGAAACAGGTTGTTAAACAAGTCAGATATTTTGCTCAATAATACTCACCATGGCTTTACTGAAAATCGGTCAACATGCATGGCATAATGGAACGGACAATTCGAACGAAGGTAACATAACATTTATTAATTTATATCGCGCAAATTCAACAATGCAGTTTTCAAATGCGCGTGGTAGATGTCTGCTACGAAGGTAGATATCGAAGGTAGATACGATGAACAAAGGTGCGTAGATATCTGGAGTACATGCGCTATTTTTAGACCTCCAAAAGGCATTAAAACTTGCAGAACTCGAGGTAAACAAGAGTTTCTGGCTGTGGACTAAAAATTTCCTTGATGGAAGGAGCCAACAAGTCAATTTGGATGGCATAAAATCAAGGTCAGAGCCTTGCCCTGCTGGTGTACCTCAAAGTTCGGTTATCTCCCCTACACTGTTTAACGTCCAAATAAACGACCTAGACGACTCCTAGAGGTTAGTTCGTGCAAATATGCAGACGATTGTCACAGTACGATATTGTCCAGGAAGATGACAACAGCAATCTTCAAGAAGCCTTGGACGCCGCTGTGAATAATTAGGCAGTCTCAAATAAAATGTAACTCATTTCTAAAAAAAACTAAAGATATGTGATATGTTTCAGAAATACTATTGAACCTCCACCATCGGCACTCAGTGAGGCCTCAGAGTAAGTACATTATACAGAGGTCTCACTTCAGGTAAATTTAGCGTAAGGGATTTTTTAGAAAAATGCGCCATGTTCTTAGCAAGTCCAGTAAAGAGAGGCCGCTTTTTTACGTAAACTGCCCATGTGCAGGTACTGGCTAAGGAAGTATCGGGAAAAAAAAACACCTTACGTTTTTTTTCGCTGAGATAAGTCTCTGTATGTTACTCTGTGGTGAGGCTGAGGCTCAGTCTTAGCAACGGTGTCATTGAAAGGGTTACTTCATTTAAACTACTCGGGTATATGGCACCAAAATAATTTAAAATGGACTCGCCACATAAAGGAAATCACAAAAAGAGCAAGTAAAATTAAAAAGGCTTTATTACTTGACTACTGAGGTCAGGTATTACAGTACGTGTTATTTAACAAAGATTAGACCACTTTTGGAATATGGATCTAGTTAATGAATTGGAAACCATTCAAAGAATGACTTTGGATATCATTGGTCTTCCACGTGACTTTGGAAGAAAGAAGGGAAGGATATGGGGTACTGCCTCGCCCACGTTTGAGTCTCCGCCGCACGAAATACAACTTTTTACTTTTTAGTATTATAGTTGTTTGTATAATGATAAATTTACAGTTACAACTTTTAAAAGTCCCCTTTCATTTACAGTTACAACTTTTAAAAGTCGCCTTTCGTAGTTTCGTGTTGAATTGTCTAGAATCTTTCACGAGGGGAGACAGTACCCCAAAAATGGCGGACTTTGGCTTAGTAAATATATGAGCGGCGAATTCGAATTTTATGAACCATATTTTTGCTACTACGCAGAAGCTACGCATTGTTGAGTAGTAGCAAGAGGCCATAGCGACATGTATAGTAAATAAGTGATAATTATTATTCAAAGGAACTCGATCAAATATGAGACGGGCGCATCAGTTAAGGCCCACACAGACCGAACGCGATTCGACAACGCGACGCGAATTTTCAGTCTTTAAAAACAAATTAAACCGTGAACGGATAAATATTTTACAAGATATGCAGACCAAATAGTTAAAATTGCTTAAGTGATTCCGAATATTTGAAAAACATAGAAAAATAGTAAAGTTAAATGTCATTGAAAATTCGCGTCGCGTTGCCGAATCGCGTCCTGTCAGTATGGACCTTTAGTGACAATAACATCAGAAAAGCTGGGATTGAGAGAGTTTCAACTACATATACCTGAAAAATACAAGCAACTATTAGCCACTTTCCGATGAAGGGTTTTCGTTGACCTTCGCTCGAAACGTCGAAGTCTTGCTTGTATTTTTCAGGTATAGTTGAACCATCTCAATCCGCTGGTTTCGGACGTTACACGATTGTCCACTTGTTCAACTGAGCGAAATCGAGCACAGATAACCGTGAACTAAATGGATTGGGCGAAATCTACGTCCGGCGTACGTCTCATTAATAACGTTGAAGGTTCGTCGAGTGCTCAGTGGCAGTGCTACGAGTGCTAGGAACGGCTTTTAATATCTCCCAAAACAGCGTGTTTTCCAAAGCAATACACCGTACCGTACCATCATAAAAGACCGTTGCCCAATTCAAAAGTGCGTTCTTGAAATAACAGTAGGTTTTTATCTTACACCAAATTGTGTGAAACGACTTGTCTCTCCGAAATATGAGCCATCAGTAGCATTATTGCACCACCAGTTATGTTGCTACGCAACGACTTAGACAACAAGCAATTCTTTGTTCTTTCAGCTGGTAGTAAATATAAATACTCTATTCACAGGAAAAAGAATAAGCGTGGCTCGCTGGTCTAGTGGTATGATTCTCGCTTAGGGTGCGAGAGGTCCCGGGTTCAATTCCCGGGCGAGCCCTGTGGTTGCTTCGTTTATTTCTTCCTACTTATTTGGTGTGATTTAGCGCTCAATAATAATAATAATAATAATCTTTATTCATCAAAATACCAATACAGGCACATATGAAATTACATACAATAAAAGATACAAAGCGTATCTATATATAATAGCTATAAAATATAAGATTATAAAAAGTGCATTAACATTTTTTATATTATGAATGAAAATATGCATGATTACGTAATGCACTGATTATCATATAATAGAAGAATATCATGAAAATATTTTGCTACTATTTTCATGACAGATTTATCATATATATTTAAAATATATAAGAATAAATTATTTGTACCAAATCGGCGGAAAGAACTATTGATACCATATAACTCGTTTAAAAAAATATTTCGAGTTTCTGAAATTTTTTGGTTGGAGCATGATAATAAGAATTCATCTCCAATTTCACTCGATTGACATAAGGTACAAAACCGATCTTCATATAGTGTTTTGCCTTTATATCTGCCAATTGACTGAGCCTTAGTACATTGATCTGACGGCGGAATATATTAATATTGAATAGCAAGGTGAATAGATCAATCTATTGAACGCGGCCATGACTGATCAAGGGTATAAGTTTACCCTTGCCTACCAGATCCTTTGTTTCATTTCATTTTATCTCTAGCCATTTCTCATGATTCACCATCTTTTCTGGCCAGACGTCGCTCCTTAGCTAAGATTTTTTCTAATCTTTTGTCATTTCAGACAGTTCAAAAGACAAATTGTGAGAGCGCACATGGCATATGTGCCATCACAAAGTAAAAGAAGAGGTAGCCGTGAATCACACCAAGTTCTCCTATGAAATTATAACAACTCCCTCGAATGTTGAAAAGCATTTTATCGGAAAGTATATTTTAACGATCGCGCTCTAAAGCATAAAAAAGAGCAGCGTACTATGAATACTGTCGGCTTTCAAAAACTATTTTTCCCAATCCCCGTTGACTCAACAGCTCAATGGGCAGAGGGGAGGTCTAGAAACCTGAATATGTGAGTTTGAATCTCGCTCGTTGTATTCTGCAGTGTCGGAATAATTTGAAACTTTCATATCTCCGAGTATAGTCCGAGACCATCCTCGTTCTCGTACCCAGGGTCTTGGCACCAGAGCACGAGAAAAATAGCCTGGGTACGAGGTTGGGTCAAAGCCGTCGCGAAGAGGCTAAATCAGGGGGGTGTAGTATCGCATTTGCCGACAACATGTCAGTCGCAGCAAATTCATCGATTTATTTTCCCAAATTTGTTGGCCATTTTCTGGCTAGATTGTTCTACCATGTTCCACTAAATTTCGAGTTAATGTAACGTAATTTGTTAAATTTTTCGGTATAACTATTGCTTTTTACGCCGAGTTGGCTGACTAGAAAACAATTTGCCGATAAGTCTGTTATTCTGCCGACAAGTACAAATACCCAATCTCTCACACTCAGTCACAGCTGTGATAAAAGCTTTATTAAATTAAGTAAATCATCCCGATCATCCTGGCCAGCCCGGGTTACAATTATAAAATGTGTTTGTGAATGTTGTTTGCATTCACGTGACACCAATACCGAGTGCAGCTATACTTTTGTCATGTATACAATAGATAATCACACGGGCAAGTCGTGCATTAATTATTAAAACTACTCGTGATTTTTGAAAGATGTGCGAAATTGCACTTGCTTGCCTCGGCGCCTGGTACAATTTTAGCACATTTTTCAAAAATCACTCGCAGAGTAAAAATAACTCCTGTGACACTAATTGCACGATTCCATGGTTAGAATCTGTGATACTAATTGCACGATTCCATGGTTAGAAATTTTATTTCTAGAATAAATTGAACAACACATTACATTCTATATATAACGACCATAGTCTGACGCCCGTTTCAGACGACGTGCTCTTCATGTGCGGAACTTGATTGCATTAATTAGATGCGACACTGAAGAACTGCGGTAATTCAAAACGCGTTAGGTACAAAATATGTTATTGACAAGGCTGGGCGCATTCGCGAGCAAATCCTATTTAAAATTAAAAACAAATACGTCTAATTTAAATACAAGATGGCTAATCTAATACAAACACATTTTAAAAAGTTGAGTTAGTTTTGGCAGATGAATGGAGCGGCGTACTAAGCAATGTTCTAACATTGCATAATGCGACAGGTTCTGCCCAACTTTTGCCGCTCCAAATTCTGCCGTACATTCATTCATATGCATTGAAATGAATACAACTGGAACGTTACCTTCAGATATACTGCCTATATTATTCTTGCAGTCAAAGTCTGACGTGAAGACTTGCGTGTTTATATGATGATTGACTGATCGAGTGCTCTTCGCATGCATGAAAAGACTGGGACTGGCCTTCAAGTTTGCCTTCAAATTTCCGGTTGGAGGTAGCGTTCCAGTTATATTCATTTCAATGCTCAGAAGTCGATCTTCTGTCGAATCCAGTTCGTCAAGGGGATTCGGCACATGAAAAGTACTCCGTCTGAAATGAGCCTGTCCAGACACACCGGACGCGATTCGACAACGCGATGCGATTTTTCGATTTTCACTGTCCGATAACTTTGATTCTAGTGTAAATTTTCCAAATATTTAGAAGCGCTATGACATTTTGAGTCATTTGGTCTACATATCTTTCGAAATTTGCTCTCATTGACTGTTTTATTAACTTTCAAAAACTAAAAAATCGAGTCGCGTTGTCGAATCGCGTCCGGTGTGTCTGGACCTTAATACGTTTTTTCGGGGTCCGCGACATCAGTTTGCCAAGTGGGGTAAACACAATAGTAAAACCTGTGCCTCGTCCCAACTGTGGCCATACTTGTCCCTAAGGTCATACATGGTATTGTTATTCTATTGTGTTTGCTAAACTTGGCAAGATGGTGTCGCAAACCCCGAAAAGGCGTATATAATCACCTAATATAATTATATTATTCTTCTACTATTAACCTATACTTTTATTATTACTCAACACTGATCCAATAGGTTTTCCACTTTTAAATAAAAGATGTAAAATAAATTATATAAAAAGTAACGAACTTGAGAACATTATGGCATGTTTGTACTCCTTAAGCAACAGTAATACCAAGAACCTATGTTTAAAAGTCATATACACACGAGCCAATTCTTGTTGTAACTTGCAACGCAGTTTCTGACATCGAACAATGTCATTTACAACGCAGTGGAGGGGAAATTGTGAGAATAGTCCACGGTTTATTATGCCAAACTTTTTCATTCCATTTCTTTGTTATTTCATCCCCTATAGGAATCTTCAGAGTAGAATGCAAATGTACAGGATGTCCCAAAAAAAAGTGACACTATAGAAATTATCTCATCAGTTCTTAAGCCGCTCTTAAACGCGCGTGATTACACGCCTGGGAATTTAATGAACTTGTATTTACATTTAAGCATTTTAAAACGTTTTTGCTTTGTCCAAATATTTTAACACCCGAGTCAAGCAAAACGATTACACTAATAAACGGTTTGCTTTTTTATTTTAAATTCCAGAAGCAGAAGTTTATCACCTGTGAGATTAACTTAGTGCTAAGGCATTCAAATTATAACAATAGGATAATTTCTATAGTGTCACTTTTTTTTGGGACACCCTGTATTGCAAAATTTTTCTATGCTAAAAATTTGCTAAAATTTTTCATTCATTTTTTTTGGTAATTCATCCCCATGAGTATGTTATGTAAACAAAGTGGAAGGAGAGTGGAATGTATTGGCCAACGCTGGATAATTCCTTGCGACTACTTTTTAGATAACATGGCTGTGTGTTCGAAATTGCATTGCAAGTTGCAGCAAAAATTGCTGGTGTAGTCACTTGTCATTAGTCATAAGACTGCTATCATGAAAGTAAACCACGAATGGCTAAGCAAAATTTATCACGTTAGGTAGAATATTATTATAAGTTAGAGCTCCTTCTGTTATTTTGATTTTGCGGAAAAGACCACACTTTTCAATTTGGAACGTTATTGATGTTTTCATAAAAGCTGTGTTTACAATACAAGGCTAAAAGCATGGTGGTCTAATTTCAAGAATATCGCGAACGTTGTGTGCCAGTGGATGTAGTGAAGAATAGGAAATAATTACGAACATCTTCATGAACTTCGACGTCATTGGACCTATTACATAATGAACAAAATTTTGATCTAGACAAGTCTAGACAAAAATTTCATCACAGCTTGAAAGAGCATCACAAAATTAGTTATATTCCGAGGCTTCGTTGCGAAATGTTGTAAAATGCGGATAATATAGCCCTGCGAAGTTTACCGTTTTTTAGCCATTTTGTATTACGCACGGGAAATTGATACCTTTTTTTCAGAAAGTGGTATCAATTTTCCATGCGTAATACAAAATGACTGAAAAACGGCAAATTTCGCAGGACTATATTGTCCGCATTTTACAACATTTCGCAACGCGCAATTTCGGAATATCACTAATTTAGTGATGCTCTTTCACGCTGTGATGAAATTTTTGTCTAGATCAAAATTTTGTTCATTAGGTAATAGGTCCATTGGAGCGACGATCTTTCGTGGGGAAGTTAGTAGAGTAGGGAGAAAAACACATGTGCATTTAAACTACACAGGAAAAAAACGCGCATTACAGATCTGCAGACAAGTTGTGAAAAGGTTGTTTTCAAGCCGATAATAGGATGTGTTCGCAAATCTTGTTCCACGTTGTTGTGAAAAGTCTGGAACAAGTTATTATCACCTTAATATTAAAAGGTTGACGACGGTAACAGACTTGCTGCAAGTCAATTAGTACAGACTGATACAGCCTGTTCACAGGCTGTCCGCACGTATAACAACTAGTTACGAGTCTGTTGGCCTCATCAAGCTTGTTGCAAGATGATAACAACTTGTCTCAGACTTATCAATAATTGAGAACAAGCAGTCTGAACAAATCGTGTTAACATGCTGTGAGACTTTACGAGTGTGGTGAATAACGAGATAATTAAAATCGCAGTCGAGCAGCGCGAGAAACTTCCAGGAGGGTCTCGGGGTCATGCTTTCCCAGAAAAGTTTTGATTATGCTTAGAAACGCTATTTTTTGAGAAGTTTTAACAAGAAATCAATCTCATAATTTTATAGTTTATCTCACAATTATTGTGCTCTAATCCTATGAATTACCAATATTCTTGGTCGAACATGAACAGGTGCATTATAAAATTGTAATAATATTTGGGACGCAAATTAAGTCACACTTCTATAGTTGGGGTACTGGTGCATCGACAGCGGTGTCCACTTCTTAAGCCATGTAGGTTAAAACTGCAGTCTACACACGTCTTTCTGTTTTAATTTTTTTACGAAAATTCTTATGGAGTCAAGTGACTGACAGCTAGTTATTAGGACCTGACGCTTATTAACTAAGTGAACAACTGGTCAGGCCTAGTCTTGTAAACACAGCTTAGAGAAGTCTCCGAAACCATTGCCAAATATTATTACAGTATAGGTGTTTCCGTGAAAACAAAAGCAATTCTAGCATGTTTAACTATAGAGTTACGGTACTTTATAAAAAATGAAGACAAACTTTTCCTGGAACAATCCTGTTGGTAGATCGAAGCACTTTACGCACAGCAGATCAACTACAGTCGATTATGGTCACTCGAGAGGGTCCAACACTCCTGGTGAGGCATCCATGTGATCCTTGCAGATAAATCCACCTTGCACAGGGTCTTGACAGGTCGAGAGACCTATATATTAGTCGTCATTGACAATCTTTTGAAGTGGAACTACTGTTGGTATGCTGAAAATAAAAGATTTGTTAAGATTCCAGGGCATGAAATAACGACCGATCAACGAACAATGATCGGCAGGAAATTGATATTGATCGGCAGAGAAACAAGGTTGCCGATCATCTTGATCGGTAAGAACCAATGTCTCAAAAACATGGTTAATGTCGTTAACGAACAGTATGCAATACTATGGCATTATCATTTATCACAGAACATATAAACAGAACGTATCCCATACTGATCGGACAGATTTTCATTTGATCAGCAGAAAATCATGACTGCTGATCACCATGATCGGGAACATTGGAAACGTTATTTCGAGCCATGAGATTTGTTAAGGATTTGTTAAATTTAATTATTCATTAAAATTAATCATGGATGATCTCAACCTAATTCCTGCCTTTCGCGATGGTAGGCTGGGGAGAGACGGGTAGCCTGCGTGCAGCCTGACTTTAAAGGGGACGAGAAGTGAGAAGGCCTAGAACAATTCACAAATCAGCCCCTCTTGTAACCATTCTTGCCCTTCGAGCGGCCCTAGGTTCTACATATTCACATTGATATTTTTCTATAACTTGATGTCATTGGGACAAACAATGAAGATGTTTCGGTCTGGAAGGAAATACAAGTACTGGCCGTTCAGGTAAGGTTACTTTATGAATTAAGGACTAACGCCCGTGTTCTAAAAGCTCACTCACACTCCATGAGTGGAAGTTCAATCTGAGCTTTTCTTGAGTGTGAGTGCTGTTTTTGAATAGCTGGAGGGCTAGTTTCATACCTTACTAAGTGACTACTAATCCTCCAGCTATTCAAAAACAGCATCGACACGCAAGAGAAGCTCATGTTGAACCTCCACTCATTGAGTGTGTGTGACCTTTTAGAATACAGGCGTAAGACCAAGTTCACGAATTTCACTAGGCCTTCTCCCGAGGTTCAAAACAGATGCCATGGCAAAGCCTAAAATAGACTTTCAGGTCCCGGTTAGCTGTGCACAAACAGGCTTAAAGAAGATGTATTAACTTTACCTCTGTGTTGTCATGTGAGTTTCTCCTACCATTTCTGACCTCTTGATCTAAAGGTTTAACTGGACTGTTAAAAGGTACAGGAGGAATCTCTATATATGAAAATGGGTTGAATCCTGATGGTCTATGTTCATTTTGTTTGATAGGAGATAGTGTTGACTCGTGTCCAAGCTCAGATAACTGCTGTGTTACTCCTAACAAACCACTCTCGTTTACACTGATTATCACCCAGATTATATCTAAACAACAAACAGAAATAACAAGTTACATCATGCTGTAAGTGGCATATTTGCATAAATCTTAGCCAGTAGCGTAACCCCTTTGGACAAAGCTGGGTCTCCTAAGCACAAAGTTACGTCAGGCCCACTGCTCTTAGCATAACAATAGTGCAATCCAGTCACGGATCAAGTAATCGGAATGCTTCATTGCCTTTCTATCATTTTTAAAATCCCACTGATCTCCGTACCATTCAGTTATCCGGTAAAAATTCAGGTAAAAATACTGAAAGGATAACTCCAGATAAAAGGCCCTACGATTGGGTGAAGTCAACATAGCAGCAGTAGAGTGACATAAACCACGCGTGTATTTCGCGGGAGCTGAAAAAATATTGTCCAATCAATGTTTTTCCATTTTTGCACATTAATGCTCACTTTTAGTGATAAATATTGCCAGAGGTATACCATAATTGTGTATTTGAGTAAAACTAGCTATCACTAATATAAATATAACGCGAATATTGCCCTAAATAGTATTGGGAACCCACGTAACAGGTGTAGAGTATTACTCCTCATCAACAACTCTGAATTCGCTGATAATTGGGGAAATGAAACGAGACTTGTAGTAATGGTAATCAAACAACGCCTCGCGCAACATAATCATCTTTCACGCATAAATTGTGTGCAGGGCAAAACACGACAAAATATCAGGTAGGACATTCCCGGAAGTGAGTGCGCGTGATCTGAGCTCTAAGCGCGCAGGGTGTTTCGGAAGAATGACAATCAAAAGAGACATTTAGGTAAGTCTCATCTAATTGCGCAATTCTTCCTCACCCGCTGCGCTTAGCGATCTCGTTAAAGTGCGACTAACCTCAAATATGATTTTTGGCCTACGAAATATTTGGATTATTCTAAGAAGAAATGCAATATATCTTCATATAGTAAGAAAAACTCGTCTTGATGGACTTTTTGGCTCTTGAAGCGGCCGGATATGATGTCATTTGGGGAATTTTAGGTGCCGAAAACAAGAGAAAACTAATTTGCAATTCCCCAAATAACGTCATATCCGGAACATTGAGAGTGAAAAAGTCTATTAAGATGAACTTTTTTACTATAAAGATGTATTACATTTCTTCTTAAAATCATCCAATTATTACACAAATCAAAAATCATATTTGGTGTTAGGCCCCGTTTACATGAGACCGGAACGAAGTCAAACCGGGACCATCTCGTTTCGGTCATAGTATTATCTATAATAGATGTTTACATGAGACCGGGACGAAAATAACTCAGACCGGTCTCAAGTCGGAATGCCTTCTGGACCGAACCGACTGACTTCAGACCGGCATGAATTCAGACCGGGATGAATGTAAACACAAACACATTTCAGACCGGTCTTGGCTGTAATCTTGACATTGGAACAACACATGCTAGCAAAAGCCACCTGAAAAAGAATATTGCCTGGCAAGGGGAATAAATTGAAGATTTTGTGATCCTCGTACCGGTCTCATGTAAATTTCAATTTTCATTCCGGTTTGACTTCGTCCCGGTCTCATGCAAACGGGGCCTTAGTCGCACGTTAAACATTAAAGCATTGCCTGCACACAGTTTCAATTCTAACACGAAGCTCTCAAAAGATTGGAAAGAACAAAACATATACTTGTTGTAGTCTAAAGTCTTTCAACCGTATTATACCGTACATATATTAAATTACAGTTTTGTACTGTACGTGTATATATACAGGTTTTTTAATTAAGGTTGTGACAAACAATAGTCAGATGTACAAGCGAAGCGCCAAAAGTATAATTGAGATAAGATATTTCGTGGGGTGAAATGTATTATAAATCATGTATTTACCCCCTGGCGATTCGGATTGCTAAAACATAAACAAGCAATGATCATGGGCAACCTACATACATACATACATACATACATAATTTATTAGATGCTCCTCGAGAGGCTTTTCAGCTCTAATTTACAGTGCTTCTTAACATTATACTAACTACTGTATATCGCTATATTTACAGAGGTTTGAGTTTACGAATATGCTATGATAATATCTAAAAAATTCAATATGAAACATTACTTCAAATTTACATTTGCAGAGGATTATTTATTTAAGAAATCCGTGAAATTCTTTATATCATTCTAGATTTTGTGAGTCGTCAAGGCTATTCCAAATTGTGGAAGCCCTGTATAAAGAAGATTTCTGAGCTTTAGAAGTTCTACAAAGAGGTTTATGTAGTTGTTTATATACTCTGCCGTTTTACGCGATTACTAATCTCAGAACGAGTAACAAACTTTTGGCATAGGTAATCAGGTACTAACTTGTTCATACATTTATACGTCATACCGCAATCCCGGAGATACAAGATATTCTCAACGGGAAGCCATTTTAGTTGCTAATGCAGGTGTTATATGGTCGTATTTACGAGATCCTGTCATTATGTGTGCAGCAAAAGTGCTAAAAATATTAAACATTTTCATACCCATATTGCTGTTCGCGCTTGGAGTGTACTGTATATTGAATTGAAGAACTTTGTTAGCTTATTTTGAACCTGATTGAATAATAATAGTTCTCTTGAAATATTTAGCAGAACTAAAATTACATTTTCAATTTGCAACCTTCAGGATTTCACTTTGGCTGTCCGGCTGAAGCTGGTGCTGACGTAAATGCCAATCTTGTGCCACGAAGTTTAAATATTTCATTTCATATTCTTACAATAACTAGAGTATAATGCTCCATCGACGTAGCGTTTCACGACCGACTTTCTTGTATGGATTGTTAAAACTTATGAATAATCGTCCATCATCAGATCAAAGCTGAGATACTCGTCTGGTGTACGAATGTAATTTTAATATTATCACCGGGTTTCAGTTCGTTGCAAAGTCATTGTTTATTTTACATTCAGCAAATAACTAACATCACAGGCCTAATTCTTTTCGTGACAATGTAGTAATCGGTCAAATTTTTTAACTTTCCAAGCACAAATCTGGCGTCGCAAATTTCAGTATACCACTGTACACGTCGTCGCTTCGTCGCGAGTGGCATACAGCTCGAAAAAAAAACGAACAACCACTGGATAAGACCCAAAACAAAACAGCTCCTGTTCAGAGTTATTACTATTATTAAAACTTTATTTGCACACGGAGTCCATTTCACAAAATGTGCTCTTCCATGTAGCCGTGCACATTAAAAATAACTACATAATACTATTACAATTACAAATTACAATTACAATTAGAAATTACAATTACAACTAAGAATCACAATACGAAAGAAAAGTAGCAGAAAATTAGGTTTGTCTAATAATATTTTTGAAATTAACTACAGATGTAGCATTTACAGCTTCGAGAGGTAGGCTATTCCTCAGAACGGTTCCTCTATAAGTAAAACTTTTCTTAAGAAACTCTTTGGAAAAAAATTAAAAAGAAAAAAAAACTTAGAATCAGAGTGACGAAGATTGTAGCAGTGTATCACATTAGTTGGTGTGAATTTGCTTGAATGATAGTCGGGTACCATTTTGTTGATTGTTTTATACATAATTAAGATCCCAAATTGCTGAGAACGTCTTTTCTCTACGTTATTCCAGTTTAGCGAGTTCAAAATCTGAACTGAATCTGAACGAACATTGTAGTCAGATCCCGTAATAATCCGTGCAGCTCTGATTTATAATTTTTGAAGCTTGCATCCCAAGACCTTCCCTAAATTGCCCCAGACGCTACTGCAATAAATAAATCAAAATGTGGTTGGATCAACGACTTATAAATGATGACAAGGACTGACAGGACTTCAACAATCGTGTCGTCATAGTCTTAACATACCACATGGACACAAGTTGCAATAGTGTACAAATACAGAGCACATAGCAGTGTTAGTAGGGTCAAAACCTCAAATCCCTTGACCAACCCCGGCTAGTAAAGTTTGATGATTTATTTATGTTCTTTAGGATATTTATCGTAAAATAAGCTTCCATGCCAGTCGGGAAAGTTTGGGCACAAGTCTGTAGAGCGAAAATGTAAAGACAATAGCATGGCGGCCATCTTGAATAAATTATTGTTTTAGCAAAGGCTATAGAATCTTCAAATAGACTTATTTCTGGACTTTTACAACGAATTCTGACATAAAACAAGCAGAAGGAACTTATTTTACGCAAACTATTCGAATTTCGCTGCTAAAACATAGTTTCGTCAATAACTCGTACTCTCGTAGTCCGGCAGAACGGTAAAAATATTCAAAAGAAAAACTAGTGTTCAGTTTGTTATAAAAGTAACAAACGTGGTATAGCGACACTTTAATGCATACTGAATAACATTGGATATAGAAACCTTCGAGATATTTCCTATAAACCGTGTAAAAATTGATTTAATGACATTTTTCTCTATTTCTCACTAAAGTACTATTATTGAGAAAAACTGAAAATTTCATGTTCATTTTTACGTAAAAACATCTATATCAGTAGATAGCTGGCACGAAAATCAATATAAGACATTTAAACCAGTAGTATGATTTTCAAACTATATTGTCCATTGTGGAGGGTTAAAGTTCCTAAAAAGTGGTGGTGTTTACCATTATGCCGGGCTACGAGTTATTGACGAGACTATGTTTTAGCGGCGATATTCGGATAGTTTCCGTGAAATAGGTTCCTTCTGCTTGTCTTATGTCAGAATTCGTTGTAAAAGTCCAGAAAAAAGTCTTTTTGAATATTCTATAGCTTTCGCTAAAACAATAATTTATTCAAGATGGCTGCCATGCTATTGTTTTTAAATTTTTCGCTCTACAGATTTGTGCCCAAACTTTCCCGACCGGCATGGAAGCTTATTTTACGATAAATATCCTAAAGAACATAAATAAATCATCTTTACAACAAAAATTGTCACAGATTGAGGTTATTTATAACAAGGGATAAAATTGTCGGTTTAATCACAGTATAGTGGAGTCTTCGTCCCGCGTCTGTGTAAATACTGCAAATTCAGGCGAACCTGATACTGAAATGTCGCCATTTTATTGACAGAAACATTAAG